GTAAATGTTAGCTTACTTTGGATGCACATCAATAGGGAAACACCAATCGCCCTTCTGAGTCCCTGGGGTCTCTTTCCTGCCTCTCCTTTAAAAGATGCTCCTTCAATCTAAGAGTTAACTTCACGTTGAATGTACTTGAAAATTCAGTTCCCGGTACATTTTGTTCTTCAAAAGAGAACGCCATCCATCTGTGTTACTTTCCTTTCAACTCATCACACAATGTCAGATACCAGATAAGAGCAAGACACTGATGAATGCGCGTCCCAGCCTGACAGGGCAGGTCAATGTCAGGGAAAGCAAAGTTTTCCTTTTTTTTTTTTTTTTTTTTTTTTCCCTTCTTTGCTTTTATTTTTATTACAACCCATTTGCCAATATTTGGGAATCCCTCCCCTGGCACAGCCAGTATCCAAGGAAAGGAGAGATTCCAGGGAGCAGGAGCAGAAGACAGGGCCTCTTTGAGATGATGCAGGTCAGTGGCAGGGCTGGGATCGGGACACTGGTGACCTGAATTCCGTCCTGGCTGTGACCTGTCTCTACAGACAGTGCTTTACTGTTCGCCCTGGATCGCAGCAAACTCCATCCTAAGGGAGTGGGGCTGCAGCCAGGACCAGCTGCCTCCCGGATTTGCATACTTGCTGTTGTGATATCTACCTGCTTATTCATGCATGCACCGCTTTTACACATCCCAATTACCATCAACTAAGCAGGAACTCAGGCAGGGTGCAAACCAGATGTCTGAGTCTCTTCAGAGTGATGGGGACAGCAGCACACAGCTAAATGTGCTCTCAGAATGAAGGCAAGCTAAGGCTTTGATTTGTAATCCTTTTTTCCCCTCTAGTTCTACATTTTACCTTCTCTTTGACCTGATAGATTCATAAGTTTGACTTACTGGGCCATATTTAAGTATTCTTGGCAGGAGTTTAGTCTTTTACTCTCTTTTGTGTTTAAAAACAGAAATTAAATAATAGTTTTCTAAATAGCAGTGACCTAAAGTATTTTTTTCCCTAAATTTACAAACTTAACTGAGTCCCTATCTGTAACTATATACAATAGCAATATAAGTATTTGGTAGGCTGTGCTTAGGACTGCCTAAAAAGCTTGCTTCAAGTGGATAATTAAATGTTTCTTGCTTCTAAGTTAACTTTATGTATGCAACTGAGTAGATAAGAGAGATGTGCAGGAGATGTCAAGAAAAGGCATCATTTTCTACTGTCAGTACCAAGATGCACCAAAAAGAGTGAGACCCAGAAAATTAGATAGATGAAACCTTAAAGAGAGAGAGAGAGACAGAGAGAGAGAAATTAAATTAATTAAATGATAAAGAAAAGAGGAAAAGGAATAATATTTAGTGATAGATGGGACAAACTAGAAGTAGAAAAATTGAGAAGGGGTGGAAAATAAAAGCTGATCATGAGGTCAAGATAAGGAGCAGGGTCTTCAGTGGTAGAGAACACAGACCTGCACTATGGCCTTGTAACCCAAACACAACTGTCCAAAAATATAATCAGGCAGAAAAAATATCTGTGTCTTCTATCACCAGCAGGAAACCTATAATGCATCACACTGAAAGGTCAAGGGTCTTTAAGACTGAGAAATTGTGTTTGTTGCCTCTTTCCTGCAGCGTGCCAAGAGCTTGGTTCTCTTCTGTTCACCTCCCACCAGGTAGTTGCCATTGCAGGCAGTGTCAGACCTGTCCCAGAGCAGACCCTCTCCCTGGCCCTGTGCCCACACACCACATTTGCTGGTCCCCCAGCTTGGTGACCTTTCTCTGCACTTGCTCCAGTGTTTCAATCCACCAGGCTCCCCAGGTCTTCTAAGCTGCCTCCTGGCTGAGCCTGTGCTGCTGCATGGGGTTGTCCCAGCCAGCACAGGGATTTGCCTTCGCTTTCTTGGCACATCCCAAGGCTGCCCCTAGATAATTTTCTCCAGACCCTCTGATGAAAGCTCTGCTCTCCAAGATAACCACTACCCACACTTCAATACCATATGAAAACCTCTGCATGTGCAGCATTACCTACAAAAAATGTGAACAATTTTACTCTAATATATTCATGGGACTCTTATGAGACCGAGTTTAATTTGGTAGGCAAAATTCATGGAAGCACTCTGAGAAAATGCAAAAAAATAAAATCTCTGAATTAACATCCCATTCAGATTTATCAATAGCCTGAAGGACAGACTTGGTTTTTTTTTGTGGGATTGAATGTGATTAAAATTAAGATTTAGCAACTTGCCAGGAAATTTATGATTGCAGTTTGAAATCAATGGTCCTCACCTGTGGGCTAGAACACTGAAAGGCATTCAAACAGACACACAACATTTTATCATTTTATTTCAGAATGTGAAATATGTAAGTGCTAAATAATATCTGTAATCTAACACTTGTATGTTGTCTCTCATCCACACTATCAATCCATTTTATAACTATTAAACTGAACTGAGACTGTGCCCAGTGCATAACTTCCTTTAGCATGGAGATAAAACATGGTTTCTGTTGGCAGCACACAGCAATTCTGCACATCAGTGCTAGGATGTGGGGGAGGAAGAAATGAGCAGATACTGATGAGGAGGTTCAGTGGACAAAAAGGAACAGCCTGAGCTGAAATGTAATCACAGAAATTGAAAATTAGATCCCTTCACAAACACCCAGCTTCAGCTCTGCAGCTCGACTACAAACAGTCACAACTGAGTTTTTAATGCAATTTTCCTGGCTATTGGAATTTCTTGTAACATTTGCCCAGTTTTGTAAAATTCATCATGTTGAAAAATGAATGCATGAAAGCCCATTGTAATAGCAGGAAGGCAAGAGTACAAACCCTTAAGTGCCATCCCAAGCCTATAGATCCATCTTAAGTGCTATCCAAAGGCCTGTGAAATCACTGTTACACATGGCAAAGGCAATCATCCCACTGTTCATGGGACAGTAGAAGAAACACTTGAGGATAAAATATATTCTACTTCACAATTTATTGAATTTTAATGTATGCTTTTGAGTAGGAAAGAAGGCATTGCTGATCTTGAAATACTTGCAACAGTTAATCCTCCACCTTTCCCGTGAAACACAGGTATATCCACTCTATTACAGCAGACATCAGTTTTTAAAACTAAATGTGAAAGCTGATACAATTAACTGTGTTAAGTGATAATAGAGTTTTCCTGCAGAAACAGCTTCTATCATTTTGATAATATCTGTTACTTCTCATTTCTGAGTAAAATGAATCTTATTAGGCTCTTCTTCCTCCCCCAGTTTTGCTCTTTCCTTCTGACTGAAGTAGCCAGTGGACATTAAAGACCAACCACATAGTCAAACCTCCTTTCAACTTTTGTTAACAGGGGTATTAAAAAGACATTCCTAAATATCAGCTGAAAACCACTAGGTAATAAAGTCTCTACTTAAAAGGTGGGTAGGTGTAAATTCCACACGTAGGGCTTTTCATCTGGGAAGCCAGTTGCTTGGAGATCAGATGTTTTAAATGAATTGCGGAGCTGATGTTACTTGTCAGTCGATGGAGACTGACACTATTTGGAGGATCAAATACTTACATTTGAGGATGTAAAGCAAATAGATAAGTCCTGATCCTGCCAGCCCAACACCAGAGAGATGCTTGTTCACTATGCAAAGCCCTGAAGAAATCAGTGATACTCATTTGACTGTTTCTCCTCCATGAGCAGGGTCCAGCCTGGATATCTTGGGAGTTGTGCCCATGACAACATTAAAAGTTTTAAAAGTTTATGGCAAGATATTTTAATAGCATTAGAACTAGACTATTTCTGGTCTTACTACCAAATAATAACGTTGTCTCTTGTGCTAGACTCAGGTTTGCTTGAGCAAAGATGGTGTAATTGTCTAATAGCAATTAGATATCCAATTTACACATTATTTTCATTGAGTATGGTAAGGGTTTTGGGCTCCCTCTTATAGAACAGGACTAAGAACTGGTCCCTGTTCTCTTACTGCCTTCTCTCTTCCTGGGAATTTTAAGTGGCTATGCATCTCATTCTTTGGCATACTGACCTCAAAAAACCTCCATATATATGGATTTGCTGACCGACTTGTTTATTTTTAAGTCTTATTTGTTTCAGTTGAGGTTGGACCCAGATTAAACCTTCTTCCACAAGTAGGAAGGAAGTTTCAAGGTCTAAAAATTCTAAAAAAAAATAATTATTCTATCCAAACTGAAGCAAAGCCTTAGAAAGAAGAGAAGCATTGTCTGGTGGCTAATGTGAGTCTGGATAACAAATGTGGTGGATCCTTTCCTTCCTTTATTGCCAGCTTGGGTGTAAACAGAGGTGTTCAGCACGGCTTTTCTGAAGTGTTGAACACCTGCTGCGTCTGCTGAAGTTAGTGAGACCTGCAGCTGCTTGCCCTACATCTTATATGTGGTGATTCATGCAGGATGGCCACAGACACCTCCACAGCGAGCGGGTGGCGTTGCAGCCACTACTTGGGGAACCATTTGTAAAAGAGGAGGTGAAGTGACTTAAAAAGCTTTTGGGAGGTGTATTTATTTTTTTATTTTCACATTACAAACTGCAAGATGAGACTGTATCATCTAAGTACTCCACAAGGATGTTAGTATGATCTGCTTCTTGTGAAAAACAAGCCTAGACTTGTATTCTGATTGTAAAGGAGGCTGACTGGGATGAGATTAGTGTTATTTAAACACATTTATCCATGTGTACTCAGTTTCAGCCCGCATTCTTCCCAGACACTATAATTTTTTACTCACTGTTTCTCCTACCAAAATCACAGTATGGTGGAAATACATTCTAATATAGAAAAGAAAAATTATATCAAGTGTAAATTACTGTACACAAAAATGTATTTTTTTACCATACACAATCCATGCCATATTATCTGGACTTCTTTTAAATTTAAAACCTGAAGCTCTTAGAAATTTTCTATGCCACGGGTGGTTTGAGTTTTTTAAATGGAAAAATTTTTATTCCTTCCATGGACCCATGTTCCTGTGATGAATTTAAAAATATGAGCAGGGAACATTTCATTTTAAAGGAGATGAAAATTGAGATGTTAGCCTTTGTACAGCAGAATAGATTATTGAAATGAAAATCCAAACTACCAGTCAAGAAGAAAATGTCTTATCATTTTTTTGTCAGTTCACATTTCATTGGTGTTAGCCTAGTATCTCACTTTCCTTCAATGTTTTGACATTATTAATGGACAAAAAGGAAATTCCTAAAATTTGCAGTAGGCAGAATAAAATAAAGATTGCAAAACTTCTTTTTTTTTTTTTTTTTCTTTTTCTGTGAATTTACTGTTTAGGAAGAGGCCACCTGAAATACTAGATTTCTTAGCACTTTATTAAGAGTATTCAATTATCATAGGTTTTAGAAAAATAAAACTAGTATCCAGCCTGTTGCCTTGCCTTCTCCTGTATGATACTTTTTGAAGAGTTATAATTAACACTGAGAACTGTTCTACCATTGCCATTGAATTTTGTGTATTATAATTTTCTGCACTTTGCAAGATAATTTCTTAAGTGAGAATTCTTATTCTTGTGGGTGCAAATGTAGCATTGTCCAAAACTAATTGATCCAAGAACAGCTACATACACGAGACTGCTGACTTACACAGGCTGTGGATCACAGCAGGAGGTGAGGTGTGAGGTGTCATCCAGCTTCCCAATTCACCCAAAACTGAGGCACACTTCATTTGAGCCTGTTTAGGGAACCTGGGGGCTGTAGCCAGAAATGGGTGGCTAATTTTCCAAACAGAACCTCTGTCTGCACCTCCAGCAGCAGAGCAAACAGGGCACAGCCCCTTTGGCTCTGAAGATGTGTTGTGGCAATGCCTGCTTTAGTCTGGGGAAACCCTTTGCTCACCCCTGTGCCCTCAGTGGCCTCTCCTGGACCACAACCAGGGAGCATTTAGGACATAAATAGGTGTGCCCAAGCTTAAACAGTGTCAGGGAGTACAGTGGTCATGAAAAGGATGCACAACAGATGCAAGGCACTAGCCCCATATTATCTATTAATACAGAAAAGCCTGCAATTTTTTCTTGCTTGTGTAACAGTTCACAAAAGCATAAACTTACAAGATCCACTGGTTTTCCATGCAACCAGAGTAATCCTCTACATACTCTCATATCCTGCCTTGGCTGCTCTAAACATTTACTCATAAGACATAAGAAAAAATATAGTTATTGCTATAATTAGCATTCCTCTTCCCTGCCTAATCCCATCTGAATCCGAATATATAAGAACACAGAGATTGAATCAGAATGTGTTTATCTCTCATCCACAGCAAAAAATCTGTACAACATCTCAGACATGCACAAAATCATTTCACCCCATGGTGTCTGAGCAACACTTTCTGTGTTTTACCCATAGATCAACTGGTGAGATACATTATTTATAGTCAGGAAACAATTATTGAAGTTTTTGGTTCTAAATTTGACTGCATTAAATTACTATTTGATTTCAAAATGAAAACTGTTGTACAGAACAGGCTATATATGTGCTCACTATGTATTTTTAATATATTTATATATTGCTTATGCATATATTATGTACACGTATACAGACATGTCTATATATATGTATACACATACGTATTTTGGAAGGTTTTTTCTCCTTTTCACACTGTAACAAAATGCCTCCTCTTCCACCTCCCCCTCCTTAAATTTTTGTATTTGTAGTCTTTTAATTGTTGTGTTAACAGAAAAAAGAAAAGAAAATAAGAAAGACATTAAATAAGAGCAGGGGCCCTATCAAATGGAAAAGACACTATAAACACAAATACAGGGAGGACAAAGTAAAAAGAGTGGGACAGAACCAGTTCCTTATTTATGCAAAATTAGATCTTGCATCTATCTTGTGACATTGTGACCATTGTCCTGGTACTCAAGGAAACCATTCAGATCACTGAAGTCACAGAAAATACCTGTCATCTTGTCTTAATTTTAGCTTTTTAGCAGTTTTAGCATCTCTGCTTCTTAAGATTGTTTAATCTCATTTTCCTTAAAGGACCAGAAAAGAGCTCAGAATATGATGAGGTAACCATGAAACACAAAGCAATCCTGTCTGTAGGAGCTATGCCCTGAGTTCTTGTGTGTGGTATATGTCATGATAGTCAAAGTTCCTCAGCCCTGGTTGAACTGCAAAAATCCTTCATTTTTTGATACTTATTAATCTCAGCATAAAACCAGTAAGTGTCCCATAAGATGCCTCCTAACATTTTGATACCCAACTCATAAAAACTCACAAAAGCCTTCCCAGTGACTGCTGAGTATTGGATTGTTTTTTGTTCTCCTGTGCGGTTGTAGTGAGGATTTCATAGAAAGAAGTGGCATATTCCAGAAAACCTCAGCATGTTTTGGCTGTGTGTCATTCTGAGGCACTCCCTCCCTGCCTTTGGAGTGGATTATGGAGCATACAGAGATCATTACACAGAAGGAAACTCTAAAATAAATCCTACTTTTATTTTTTCCTCCAGGTTGACACTCTTTCTTCCCTTCTTTTCATTATATATTACATTTTGCTTCCATTATGTGCCAACACAAAGTCATGGCTGGCAGCCAAGCTGCTTAACAGCTGCAGAACTCAGGAGTTTTGGATAGTTTTCCTGGCTCTCCTAATGCTTTGCTGTGTAATTTGGGGAAAGTTCCTCCTTGCCTCTACTTATCCATTTCCCCAGAGTAATAGAGAACATTAATCATCACTGTAAGCTGTACTGAAGCCTAGATCTGAAAAGTGCTTGTTATTAATGATATTAATTTATAACTTATGAACTGTGTAACACACAACCATTGTTGCATTGAACTGGGGCTGGAAAAGGGCTTTTTTGCCAAAAGAACAGATTTGTGGAGGTAGAAAATTTTACAGAAGTAGCTTCTAGTCTTCTCTAACACTTTTATAACCTGTATATTACTGTGAATTAAATTTCCATGAAAAACATTTGTCTGGACTCAAAGTTCATACACTGTATATTTTGCTCCCTAGACCTTTCTTTTCAATTACATTTTACTATTTTTTTTAATGGGACTTTGACCTTATTTACAATTACAGATTTCCTTTTTAATTTCCCAGTCATGTATTAAAATAGCACATAAAGCTACGAACTTTAGGGCAATGCATTGCAGTTCTTTCCTCCTTTCTCATCTTGAAAACCAAAGCGATTGGTTTCTCACGAGAGGAGAAATGCACAGAGAGCCATAACACACACAGATCCATAATTTTCACAATTAACATGCAGGTAAGAGAGTGCCCGAGCAGCAGCCAGCACGGCTCACATTCTGACTGCTGTAGCGCCACCACCTTCAGCTACCCTGAAACCAGGGCTCAATGGCTTAAGTTTAGGGTTTGTGTTAGCCACGAATAAAGTCAAGATCTGTAAATGGTTTTGTAAAATGGCTAATTTTCTTTTTCCTCTCTCACCACTTTTCCCCTCAGCGCAACTGCTCAATGTAGATGCGCAGCCTTAATCGGTTTAGTTGCAAGAAGATAATCTTTTTTTCTCCCCTTCTTGCTGTTGCCTGTTAGCTTAAAGGCTTTTTAGCTGAAGGTTGATAATTATCACTGAGAAGAAACTAGCACATCAGGAGTTCATTTTCTATCTTAGCACTTCTGGCGCTCCTTTGAACTCCTCGCACCAAGCCCGTGTTCCCACTCTGTCACTTTCCTCCCTCCATCATAAAAAGGTCTCGGCAGCCGGCGGCTCCAGCCTTTGCTGGTGGGCAGAGGGCATCGCTTCTCCCGAGCGCTCCTCCAGCATGGACAAACTGCAGGAGACATTGATAAACATGGAAGACGCTTTGGGTACGGAGCACTCCGCCTGCTTGTCATCCTGGGACTGGAAGAGCTCCGCTGGGCCTTTTGAGCTGCACCCCATCTCGCCCCCGCACAGCTTGTCCCCGACGCCCTCCTTCGAGTCCTACTCCTCCTCGCCCTGTCCGGCGGCGGCCGAGCCCCCGTTCGGCGGCGGCGGCAGCGGCCTGGCGGCCTACGGGCTGCTGGAGTTCCCCGCCGCCTACCTGCCCAGCCCCGGGCAGGCCCGGCTGCCCAAGGGCACCAAGGTGCGGATGTCGGCCCAGCGCAGGAGGAAGGCCAGCGAGAGGGAGAAGCTGCGGATGAGGACCTTGGCCGACGCGCTCCACACGCTGCGCAATTACCTGCCCCCCATCTACAGCCAGCGGGGCCAGCCCCTCACCAAAATACAGACCCTGAAGTACACCATCAAGTACATCAGCGAACTGACCGAGCTCCTCAACAGCGTCAAGCGGGTGTAGAGCCCCCGGCAGCGCCTGCCCCGGCACCCTCAGGCTCTTTACAAACCAAAACCCGGCAAAATTCCTTCCTCGCCTGAGCGGTGGGGCCTGCTGTGAGAGGAGGGAGCCGCCGCTGGACCTGGGACACAGTGCCTGAAGGTGATGTAGGAGTACCCGAAAACCTGAGCTGCAGGCTCCCGAGACAGAAGTCTTGCTCTTTGCCTTTCTTCATTTTTTTGTTTTAATAAGTTTTTGAGAAATATTGAACGTAGTCTGATACAAAAGTAAAAAAAAAAAAGCCAGCTCATCTTCCTAGGATTTACATATCACTGTTCTGACTGAGCTTGTTTTATAAGGACGATAGTAAATCCATGGGTGTTAAACTGAATTTTTAAAAATGACAACAGCTTTATAAGAATACTAAGTGTAGGCACTTTAATCATAGGATGAGGAAGAACATGTATTTAGTTCAAGTATTGTCTATTTATCCATGTTTCCACTGTACCTAAAAATCAAGAGAGTAAATAATAGTGAGAAATCTTTGCATGTAAACAAATAAATGTGTCATAGTCTGTATCCTGTATTATAAATCTGATTGATAGATAAGTTTTTTGATTGAAAATCTAGTGAAGACTGCTAAATATTGAAAATTAAATATAAGCAAGCTGACATTTTGTACAGATAAATTGCTGTTAAGTCCTCTCTTCTTTATTAATATATACAGACATAAAATTTTTCTATATTTAATGTGTAAAAACCTCCTTCAATGCTGATAAATGATGGAAAACATTTTTGCATCTAATTTCTTAAACAAATAAGATTAGATTGAAATGGCCTGCTCTCTGACATGAAATAAATTGATTCAGGTTTCACAAAGATGTCAAGTTCTATTCTCAATGTGTACTGAAAACTAGGAGGGCTCTGGTAATCATGTTGTTTTATTAAAAGCTGTCAGAGCAGCTCTTTCCTACAACCAGGCACAGTCCTGTAACAAACGCACACAGAAGATTTTTTTAAAAAAAGAAACAACTGGGTACGTAGTTTTAATTTTTAATTACTTTGACTTCCAGATGATGGGCACCACACCTCCAAAAGTACCTACTGCTTTGGAAATCTCATTGCCTGACTGATTCTTAAGACTTGGCCTATGAAACAAGCCGGAGAGGAGCAAACACCACTTGTGGGGAGCTAATTAAGTCATATTAGCTTTTTGTGCTGGGGGAGATGTAAGGCATAGAGAGCACAGCAGCTGGAAGGTAACAAGCTTTTCTCCCCACAGATCAGCTTGTTCTGTGTGGCCTGAGGGTTTAGGGTTGTGGGTAAATCCTGTAGCAGAGAACCACAAAGCTAAACTTCGTTCACTCTTTTTTCTTTTTTCTTTCCCTCTCTCTGTTTGGTTGGAAAGAATTACAATTATCTTTGTACATTTTTTCTTCCAAGGATCAGCCTAAGCTGATTCAGTGCTCTTCTCACATGGTATATGCATATTGGGTCAATCAGAATGAAATCCAGCTCCACCACAAAAAAGCAACTACCCTCAAATTAATGCAGGTACTATCACTCAGATGTAACCACATTAACCATATCCTATGTGCTTCTCTTTGTAACTAACCCATGTTAAATTTGTTACAGTCTTTAGTGTTTCAGCAAGAATATAAGTAAAATAATTTTTAAAGCCATATAAAATTGTCAAATTAGAGATGTGAGGTTGCAACACTGATGGCAGGAGAGCACTCCTCAGTACAAATCTGTGCAGCTGATCCAGATTTGAGCAGATTTGCCACATAGAGAAGGTCAATCTGGATCTATTTTGCAAATGACTGAAACTGCATGATTCCCATGGGACCTTGCACAGAACCATAAGTGAAGGCCTGATCCACATTCTTTCTCAAAGACCAAAAAGTCTATTTGAGGGAAGACTTTCAACTTTGTCCTTTAAATGTTCCACACCTGAAACTGCAGGTAGAGATTATGCTCTCCAGCTGTGGCAGCCTGTAAGGTCATGGTTAAAGCAGAGAAGCAAGGAGTTAAAAGGATCTGCTTTCATTGTAATTTTATCTATGACCTTGGCTGGTCATCCAGCATTGCTACCTCAGTTTACCCTGATAACTAATGGCCTCAGAAAGCTGCTGCTCACAAAGCTGAGTGTCCCAGGAGGAGGTGCTCTGCACCGTGGAGAAGTGGCTCAGTCAGCAGTCCCCACCACTCCAGGGAAACGGAGAGGTAAAGGCCCTGAACTGGCTGAGCTGTAGCTTTTTACATCTCCAGGGAGTTCTTCTGTCTCCTTGCAAGTCCAAGGTGGAGCAACAGCTCTAGGTAAGCCATGAGGCAAGGCTGTGAGTCTCAGAAGAACATGGTACTGCTTTTGTGTCAGTGAACCAGACCTTGGCTGTGTCTACTCCCTGGCCCAAACATTCCAGGGGCCGTTGCTCCAGGCTCCAGCAGGACAGGGCTGCATCAAACTGACCCTGGGAAAATCACTCCCTGTGCCACAGCAGGGCCAAAGCCCACAGCCACAGTGGAAACAGTTTATTAGAATAGGTTGTACTCATGCACCATTTAATTTGTTTGATCCCCTTTCAGGGGATCTCTCCTTTTACCAGGGGTGAGGGGTAGTGGGATGGGAGCAACTTAGGTATGGGAATAGGAGGAAGTAGGTTTAGTACCTGCCCATGAGTAAGGTTTCCCAGGATTTGTCAGGTTTGTTCCTCCCCTCCAGAAATAAATGAATTCTTGTTCTACCTAAAACATCTTCATAAGCCACACATTTTGTAATTCTTCCCCTTGACACATGTTTCACTGATCCAGAGAAAATAATCTGAATTATTGTTTCTACAGTACAAGCTGGTACAAGAGCTACTGCTGTTGAATGTTGGATTTTATTATTCTCAAAATTGAATAAAGTTAAGGTTCCTCTTCTTTTTCCTTTAGGCCCAGGAGTTTAAGAGACCCAGGTGACATGAAAGAGATCAAGTTCCCCACTTAAAGTTATGAGATCTACCTTTCAGGACTGTAAGGTCCATAAAGCTGTATTTAATTCTAACAGCAACACCACAATAATCTATAGAAAAGAGGCAAAAATTTGAACCTCAGTCTGAAAAAGTTGCACAAATCACAAGGAGAGAACATTATCTCACATATGAGTATCTTCCCTCAACACAGTATGTTAAAAATATACATGGAAATAAATCTAAAATAGCTGAAAAGCCATAGCTGAAAAATTAAATACTCTGTCTGATAGTTGTTCACCATGCTGAAAAGATACAGGAGAGGGAACTGGGGCTAGTCCTACACAAATTAACTCTTCTGTCCCCAAGGGCTTACCCGTTTGCAGATTAGCATGTCATTAAAATTTCTTACTAACTTGGAGAACAGAACATGGATCCTAAAGAAGAAACCATCACCACTAAAATGGAGTTTTCTACTGTGCTCAATCTTCTCACATACATGAAATCATACTTCTTAAGTGATACCAGCCATAAAAATGAAAGGACAGCAGAACAGTCCTCAAATGCTAAAGAGAAAAAGTACATTGTAAGATCTTCTACAGAAATTAATTAAATGAAATGGATTTTAGAACCCCAGGAGAAGCCTTGAGATACAAAAGGCCTGGAAATTTGGTTGAACTACCAGTTCTTCACTCTCAGTTTACTAATGAGGTGATTACCATCAGTTGCTGCACATAAGTGCCTTTTTTGCCTTTTAAAAAAGAATTTCCAGGCTTTAAAATACACACTTTTCACTGAGCCAGAGACAAACAGCCCAGAAGCAGGTTGAGAGCAAGAGAAATGAGCAAGTGGCACCAAATCAGGTGAGACAACTGGACCGCACCAGCTGTTCCCTGAGCTGTTCTTCATGCTCAGAGCTGGGTCCTTCCCTCCTCTCTGGGTGAATTACTGAGGGGGGACCAGGGTGCTAAAAGTTTCAGAAACCAGGGAAAAGAGGAATTGCAGCACCACATCCATCCTAACTCTTCTCTTAGGAAATAAAAAGGCAGGGCAGAGCAGAGTTGCATATAATGGATTTTATACCAGTTAACTCCTTTGCTGCTGTGAGCCAGGCAGTTGGTGCTGCTGGAGGGAGCAGTTGCTGGTACCAACAGTGTGAGAATAGACTCTGGGTTTCACTTTCTACCTTGGGGACCAGAGGCTGTTCTGAGCTGGAGGGATATGATACTGCTCTCTTTAGCAAGAGGCACAGCAATGCAAAGGAAGAAGCCTTGCAGGAAGGGCATTAGCCCAGGATTCAGGAGGCTTGCACAGCCTCACTTGGCAGGGCAGGCTTTCCACGTGAATCCAGGAACAAATTCTCTGCCTACTCTATACAAAGGATGCAGCTGTGCTGTCTGCCAGCAGCAGCAATACCAAGATACAGACCTTGAGGAGAGCAAGGAGGTCAAATCACCTCTTGAGGACAATAGTCCCCAGTGGTTTAAGGCTCACACATGGAAGAAGCTCCCAAGGCAAGCCCCAGCTCTGTAATCCACAGAACTCCCTCTCCACCCCCCAAAGCAGAGGGGAGCCTGGGGCTGCTCGCACACACACAGTGCTTTGAAATTCTATGCTGAGGAGCACCATGTAGGTGCCAAGAGGTTTTATGGTGACACATTTGGGCTGCACATAGGTGTGCTTGGGACAAAGAAAACCTCCTGCAAATGGGCTTCAGCCAGTTCCTTGGGAGAGCTGCTTATCTGGGAGCTGCCATATCCCCTCTGGCTAGGGAAGCCAAGAGCTATCCTTCCAGCTCTGCCTAAAAAATACTCCACAAAAACAGAGATATACCCTTAGAAGCTGGGGTGTATCTAATCCAGTGTCTGACTGACTTTTCCTCCCCAACATACCTGCCATCCAACCACAAATCTTCTTATTGCTTTTAACAGGCAGGAAGCCGGAAAGAGAATTCACAGATGCCAATAAAGCTGTTTCTAATGAGCTATAGAAGCTGGGTCCTGCTGAATCCCCTTCCCCAATCAAGCCCCTGACTTTTTAGTTCTATATGTACACCAACATCAGTCCAGGCTTGCACTCTTACAGTACTTGATGTTATGATAAGGATAAAGACTCATTTATGCTTTAAAGCATTTCTTTCCATGCACACATCCTTCCAGCATTCTAGCTAACACTGTTTAGGTGTTTTTGGATTCCCAGGCACAAATAAAAGCAGGAAATATACGGAAGTGGCTAAAAACTCAGATTTGTGGCAGAAGCCAAGACTTGAACTTCCTTAAGCTTTCCAAATCATTAGAACATTGTCACAACATGTTTTCCTCTGGACTGAGGTGCATAGCATTTACTAAAGACTTTGGCCTTTAAAATAAAAAGCAAAGGAATATGCCAGATGTCAGTTTTCTTAGTCTTTCAGTATTAATAGTAAGTTGTTGCTACTTTAAGTCACAAAACAGTAAAGTTTTAAAATACTAGCTGTCATTGAATATAGCCCAAAGAAAAGATGAGATTTCTGCCTATCCGTGACCAGATATGAGGTTACTTATTAGCAGTGACTTACCAACATTTATTTGAAATGGAAATAACTATCTTCAGTACATTTCTGTTATTGTTCCCATTTTCCTATAAAAACAAATCACACCAGACTTCTCTTTTCCCTTACACTTTTGTCATTCACCTGTTGAAATTGCAGAAGACGTTAAGCATAAACAAAGAAGATTGATCTGCTTTCAACTTGTGTTAATAGGGATATAAAAATAACATCCCAAATACCAGGGGAAAAGCATGTGGTCATAAAATATCCACTTAAAAGGCAAAGAGGTGTTGATAAAACACTTGAAGATTTTTTTTTTCTTTTAGATATATAAATGTATAACCAGGAAGGCAGTTCCTGAATTCTAGTATAAACAGGCTCTTCTGAAGTAGAGTGAGTACTACTGTCATGTCTTTAAAAGATTTTACTGATATTCAAATGGATTTTGTGTCTCACAGGCTGTTGGAACATCTGACAAGAAACTATATAAATCCTTGTCCAACCATGGAGGGAAGTGTCCTTGAATTTTCCCACATATCAGAAATGTTAATAGAAAAGATGGTTCTTTACATAACCCATCCTTT